CTAGTTTCTATGTGAATCTCTTACTATAGTCACAGATCTGAAATCCCTACTGTACACTCAGTGGTTTCAGTATAGTAACTGGTGTTAATGCCTCTGCTTTCAGAGGTCTTGAAGCTGGTCTGGGATTTATCGGACCAGGACAGTGATAGCATGCTTTCTTTGAGGGAGTTCTGCTTTGCTCTCTATTTAATGGAGCGGTTCAGGGAAGGTCGCCCCCTGCCACCCATCCTCCCTCGGAATGTGATGTTTGACGAAACACTGATGTCAATGACAGGCCAACCTAAGGCTGCATATGGAAATGCTGCATGGGCACCTGGTGCTGGTATAGCTTTTCTTCTAGGACTGGTTTCTTTTCCCTCCATTCTTTTCTACGTTGGCATCTGGGCTTTTTGTTGATATTTGTTTGTGTTGCTATCTGATTAGGTTTTGCTCAGCAGCCAGGAATGGGCCCTCGACCGCCAATGGGTCCTGCACCTGGCTTGAGACCACCAGCTCCGGTACCTGGACCTCCGCATGATGTTGCAGCAGTGTCCAGTCAAAACAATTCTGGATCTCCTGTGTTGGATGACTCCTTTCTGAGCCGTGAGAATGGCGATTCTGGGAATGCAATGCTGCAAAATGGAACTGCAGAGAAAAAGGCACTTTCTCATATAATGTTTCTACACTATTGGGATGTTCTTTTTGTTTGACCTTTTGCTACTTCTCAAGACTAAGTCCAAGAGGGCGCGTGAAACCTATCACCTTATGTGAAGAATGATGGGATCAGATATATAACTTTGATTGTGACACTCAAGGTTGACGACACTATATGTGCAGCATATAAAATTTCCTTGTATCTTATGTAGGCTGAAGGAGCAGAGAAGTTGATATTGGATTCCAGAGAGAAAATTGAGTACTTCCGCGGTAAAATGCAGGATCTTGTAAGTATCTAATTTTGTCCTCCTTTGTTATACTTATAACTAAAGGCTTCTTGTAATGGGAATCAAAGGTGTGTGCATTCCCAGAGATATGAGAGAACATTTTCCCTATTGAGCTTCATTTTTGGGTGTAATTGGGAGGTGGGAGTAAGTTGAAGGACTCCGTTCAAAGGGAGCCAAATTCAGTTAGTAGCCAAATAGAATATTAATGAACCAAAAAGTCCAGGAACAGGAACAGTCATTTTTTGTCGGTTTGCTGAATTAAGAGTTGAGATTTCAAGGAGCAAAACATCTAATTTTGCTTGATGATTGTGCTATGGTACATGTAAAACCATGGATCTGTTTTCTTTTGGGTTAAAAGTAACTTCACATTACATCGAAACTTCTATACTGAAGAAAATGCTTAATTATCTGATAAATGTTGTACTAGTAGGATTTGTAGTATGAAATTATGCTCTAGGCCTTTATTCCCCATACAACTTTGGAATCTATTTTTATTAACGTGGTAGAAGTATGAACCTCCTTCTTTCACTTGCTTTGTATCATATTCTTATCTTTTCGCATGTCCCATAAAATCATAGATGTCAAAATCTCATGGGTCTTGTACCCTTTTCTGGTTCTTATTTTTTCTGGATTGTTTTCTAGGTTCTATATAAGAGTAGATGTGATAATCGGCTCAATGAGATCACAGAAAGAGCACTAGCAGATAAGCGTGAGGTATTTTATTGTCTTCAAGCAACTGCCTACTTATTGTCTCCTGATATCTGATTTCTGTAATAAAACCCCGAGTGTCTTAAACTTGTTTGACAGGCCGAAATCTTGGGTAAGAAGTATGAAGAAAAGTACAAGCAGGTTGCTGAAGTAGCCTCTAAATTAACTATTGAAGAGGCCCAGTTTCGGGATATTCAGGTAACTAGTTCCTTTTACTTTTATTAACCTCAGTGATTGGTTCGTGGGACTAATCTGTGAGTCTCTAGTCTAGTTGATTTTGATATTCAGTTATATATTCAAGAAAATAATTATGCCCATTGTGGTTAGACTAATGTGCTCATCAAAGTTTGTATCTCTACTATTTGGGGCGCCAGTTTTATCCTTGTACTGTTAAGAATCGTCCATATCAGTTGTCCAGAAATGATATGGTCATCTATGTATTAATCATTGACTAACGTGCTCACCAAAGTTTGTATCCCTACTATTTTGGGCGCCAGTTTTATGCTTGTACTGTTAAGAATCGTTCATATCAGTTGTCCAGAAATGATACGGTCATCTATGTATTAATCATTGACTGGCTAGTAGGAACGAAAGAAGGAGTTGCATCAAGCAATTGTGAACATGGAACAAGGTGGCAGTGCTGATGGCCTTCTTCAGGTATTTATTTACAGGCAGCTTTCCCTATCACAATTCATATACTAAGAGGCGCCCTTAAATTCCCATCGCTCAACTCAATGCATTTTATAGGTCCGTGCAGATCGTATACAGTCAGATCTTGATGAACTGATGAAGGTTTTAATCGAGCGTTCCAAGAAGCACAGTTTGGATATCAAGTCGACCGCTATGGTTGAGCTTCCCTTTGGTACTCCAATCCTAGTCGAATCTTTTCACTTATTAAACAATGTGGTGTTTCAGTTTTAACCAATGCCGATACTCATTATAAATCACTCTGACATGACTTGGTTCAAACTTGGACCCTTTTTCTGCTCGTGTTTTCTTATTTGATGATTAATTAATAAGGATGGCAACCTGGAATTCAAGAGAATGCCGCTCCTTGGGATGAAGAATGGGATAAGTTTGAAGATGCAGGTATGCTTTGTCGGTTTTAAATGAAGATCTCTCACACCTTATAATTTACTAGACGAAGACCAAAAAAACACAACCTACTATGCCCCCTACATCTGCAAATAGAATTTGATATTTAAAATTTAAAATTGTAATCTCTATCATTAGCTAAATATAGTGATAAAAACTTAATCATTACTAATTTGTGCTGACAACGGTGAGGAAAATGCATTGCATACCCCCTATAAAGGTGGGTTATGCTAGACAACCTTTCCTAAATATATATGAATCTATTCTAAGTGCTTTCACTTGTGGAATCTATGCTTCTGATAATTTTGTATACATAATGTTGCTAAAGATCTAAGATTCGTTCAGGTTTTGGCCATGATCTCACTATCGATGTGAAAAATGTTTCTGAAACCGCGAATGGGAAAGCCAATGCCGTTCAAAATGGAATAGCATCACCAGATGGTAGCTTAACTCCAGATTCCTTGTCCAACGGTGATGCAAAATCCGGGAACTTCAGGAATATCCATGATCATGAGCATAACCTCGAGGAGAACGAATCTGCATACGCTCACAGTGAAGTTGAGTCTGTGGCAAGAAGCCCTCAAGGCAGCCCTGCTGGAAGGACTCCATCACGAGACTTCTCCGATGTTTTTGCAAAGAGCACTGAAGGAGATTCAGAAGCTCATAGGTATATATCTCCCTTCATTTTTCTGTCTTCTTCCTTTCGGGACTGTATCTTGGCTGATCTTGAAACTGTTTTCACTCCTGGAATTTAGAAGTTTCGACGATTCAGCATGGGGTGCAGCATTTGACTCGAACGATGACGTGGATTCCGTATGGGGATTTAATCCTGCCAGTGCCAAGGTTTGTCCTGAAACCTCTCCAAGAACCTAAAACATAGTGATGAAATGCCTAAATGGTCACTAATAACGCTAACTAAACTAAGTAGTTCGTAGTCACTTTGTCTTGTTCCGTCTAATGCGTCGTTGGTTCAGGTGAGTCAGCATGCATAATCCGTGTTACCAATATCGCCCGACTAGAGACCAAGCACCCACTCGAAATCTATAATTCGACTCACTCGTGGAAATTTTTGAGACCCAACAAACCTATTTGACATGCTGACTCAGCCGAACTATTGACAGTTAGACAGAACAAGAGAAAGTGACTGTTTGGTATTACAAACCATATAGTTTTTAGTTTGGTGACCTTTTATATATATATATATATATGCCCATAGGTTGGTGATCATAAGGCATTTAACCTCTAACATGTAGTTCCAGTTGGTATTCCAAAGCATAACCAAAGCTTTATCCATTTTCACACAACTTTGTCATTGTCAACAGGATACTGATTCAGAGAAGCACCAAGATTTCTTTGGCGGCGAGGATTTTGGCATAAAGCCAATCAGGACATCTGGGTCTCCAACCAGTACAACAACGGACCACATTTTCCAGAAGAAGAGCATATTCTTCGAGGAATCCGTAGCTGGCTCTCCCATGTCCAGGTTCGCCAACTCTCCAAGGTTTAGTGAAGCCGGTGACCAATTCGACAGCTTCTCAAGATTCGACTCCTTCAGCATGCAAGAAGGGAGCGGGTTTTCCCCACAGAAGGCAACGCTGTCGAGGTTCGACTCCATAAACAGCAGCAAGGACTTTGGTGGCGGTGGTGGTGGATACGACCGGTCGTTCTCCTCGTTCGATGATGCAGACCCTTTTGGATCCAGTGAGCCTTTCAAAGTTTCCACCTCGTCGGACCACCATCACAGCCCTAAGAAAAGCTCCGACAATTGGAATGCCTTCTAGCCAAAAGTCAAATCCCGTAACTTTTTTCTTTAATGGATTGAAAAAGGTGCCCATTTTTACCACTACAGAGGCTGCAGGATATAAATACAAATATACAATCGAGGGGATTATTCTCTGCTAGTCGGCGGAAATAGATGTCTTGATTTTGGAATCATGTATAGTGTGTGCTGAGAATTGTTCTTGTGTAGAGTTTGGTTAACAGTACTGTAAGCCTGTTGTACACTTGTACTTAAAGGATTTTTGTTCTTTAGATTGAATTATCATGTATTCTTGTGCTTCTTTCCAGTCCATCCGAAGTACACAAGTTTTTCGAAAGAGATGTTTTGTTTAGTCTAAGTCCCGTGACCTCTGAATTCCAACAACCTTACGTTTGTAACAAGGCATTTCATTTCATATATGAAGTAGACCAGATTGCTGATATTTTCACAAATCCGCTGAAGCAAGCGTATTCGTCAAATTGAAGACGCTACTCGTTGTTATGGCAAATTAAACTTTAAGGGGGGAGTGTTCAAATAAGTTAATGTCTCGGTTGATCGTTGAAAAACATAAGACATTGTAGATTGACAATGTTTGATCAACATGATCTTAGCAGAATCTTCTCTCTTTTACTCAACATGATCACTTTCATAGAAGCCTAGCATAATGAAAAATGATTCAATCTCGGGGTTCTTCTATCTCATTCAAGGCTCGAGTCTCCTTTACTCCTTTCTTGTAGTCTCTCTTGGAGTTCAAGGACAAAATTTCCTGCACTACAAAAAAATCAATAGGAAAAAAAAAAATATATTCAGGGATTCTGTGTAAGACACAGGATGTAGAAGATGATACAAGAATCATAGGAAACTGATTTTTTAGGTTGAACTTCAATACATCGCACCATGAGTTCATGATCGTTGCAAGAATAACAGATCAGAATACTTGATAACAATTGGATTAATACCTGATTATCATCCTCTATGTGACCTTCTTGGCACCCTCCAATATCCTCTGAACTTGATCCGATGCAGCAAGGATCTCCGAACGAAGATTAGCTATCTCTACAATCGCCTCAATTGCTGCATAACCATCTCCACTTAGTAAGCGGTGTCATCGTCACCAAAAAATTTAGCTGCTTTCGTTAGTATAAGTAGTCACCTTTCTCAAATGACAGTTGGGAAGCTCGAAGCTTTGGAGAAACCAGTGTTCCAAACACGGCAAGGGATTTCGACCGCTCGTTCTTTACCTGCCAGAACCACAATGTTAAATTAACATGAGCAATCGATCCAATTTGCAAAGATCATTACGATTCCAGAAACACGGCGGTTGTAGTTAGTAGCAATGTCATTCCGTTTCTGCAGATTCAACACACTATCTACATTGAAACCACACTAAGTCCTTTCTTTTACACTAACATGACCAAGCAGACAGCTATAGAATAGTTACTCACCTTGTCATCAATCTGGACCTGAGCTCCGTCGTCGGGCTTACTAGCACATTCTGTAAAGAGAAACACACAGAAAGAAAAACTAAGCCACATCCTAATAGAAAGCTAAGAATGCTCAATACATAGCGCAACCACAAACACAATCCAATTGAGAAGGTATTCAGAATTTGTGGAAAGCACTTTGTTTCCAGGCCAACTACTCGGTAGTTGATTAGCAATACCAGGAAGCTGGGAATCGCCACGATGTCTTTGCTTTAAGCTGCCTGATGATTCCTCATGCTCCTCCTTTGACCTTAGCTTCTCAGCAGAGAAAGTCTGGTTGTCCAAGGATCCCCATTTCCGCAACTGAAATCGTGGTTTCTGCTTCCTTGTCGAATCATCTACTGCAGCACAATACACATATGACGCCAAATTGAAGACAAAATGAAACTTCAACACTATCATATAATCAAGCAAAAGATTTACCATCATCGTCATCATCATCTGAGATGACCCGCAATGAAGTAGAAGCTGGGTGTTCTTTAAGGTCTAACAAGGTGTAATTGATGCGTGAAGTGCCCATGGAATGCCTGGCGCTCGCCAAGTCCAGCCATCCCTAGCAGAATATAAAAAGAGGGATCGCCAATCGCCATTAGTCAAATTTTCCATTACGAGCGTTTCCCACACCTAGTAAGAAAGAAAAGTTTCATACTTTTGCTACCAAACATTCAGAATCGGGGTAAGGATTACCTGACGAAGCGTAGAAGACAGAGAATTGAATTGGGTTAAGTAGCCATCCATGGAATCCAGAAGCTTCATGACAGCTTTATTCCGATCTTCCTCTCCTTCTAAGTCTTCTATTGGTTCGCCCCACTGATTCTCTTCAACCTCGAGCTCCGCCATCTCATCGGTTTTCTTCACCTCCATCTCGATTTCATCCGTCCTCGCCAATTCCGCCATGGATTCTCCTACTTACTCGGAGACTGTTGGGAATTTGGGATCTAGCGGGCAGTCCTATTTGGTAAAGAGAAAAGCTTTTGAACTTCAGTGGCATTCCCGTCATTTAACACACAGCGCCGCACGGTTGCAGTAATAATATAATACGTTAACAAGCAGTAGGGTTTATGTAATTTGGGGGATTTGGCGGGTTTACGCGGGCCAGCAGAGTAGCAATGGAGGGAATGGTGAAGAAGTATCAGCAGCGATTCAGAAGGGTCAAGGATGAAATGGAGAGATGGGACGCTCAGCAGTCTCGTCTTCTTTCCCAATTCAGGAACGCTTCTTCCATCGTCGACCGTTTACAGGTGAGCTTGTATCCTGCTTTTGCTTGCTGAATCTCTAGAAGCAAAATTGTGGGCTTGAATTCGATTCTCTGTTAATCGGGCAGGTAATTCAAAGTTCTTCGAACTACGGAGCTCTGAATAGCATTCATGGAGTTCAAGATGTGGTTCTCAGAAAGCAGATGGATTCTCTTGGCGCAATTTTCCGCTCCATGAACACCACACTGTAAGTTTGTCGAGCATCATATCTCGATTTGTTTACTGGGAAAGTTGATGGGAAATTTGAAGTGGGTTTGGTTTCCTCTTTTGAAGGGAAGAGTTTCATCGTATTGTACTGTCTCTTGAGAAGATGCATCGTGATGGTAAACAGTTGATAAGCGGGGGTTCTGCTCAGGCTGTCACTACCAAGCAATTGCAGCTTCGGATTGGAATTAAACCGTCACTAGCAGATTGCTTGGATGGCCTCCTCCGAATTCACGACATGCATCAATCCGAGTAATGGCTGTGTGTTTTACTACTTAGCGAAGTTTTTTTTTCTTCAGATGCATCAATTCATGGGGACTTAACCAGCTTTTTTATTAGGTACCTTCTGAAATCATCTGTGGTTTCAGCACTTTCATCTCTTACCTTGAAATCTAGGTAGGTTATCAATCGGTTCTGTAATGCACTAGAATTAGCCTAGTGTACAGATTTTACCAGATGCAAATCATGATGCTTACCTGGTCTTTATGCCCATCAATACTTGTAGTGAATAAAAGAATCAAAATCCAAGTTTTGTATGCAAATAGTAGCAGTTTTCACGGACCTTGCTTCAGAGAATTGTTGTTGCCTTGCTACTGATTTTGTTTGCTAGAGTGGTTTTCATGACAGAGATCGGACTTGGTGTTAATTTGCAGCTCAACTGATCTAAGTGCCCTTCACCAGCTCTTGGTCGATCAGCCTAATATCCCCAAAGAAGAAGGTAAAAGAGCTAATACCACTGCTTTTCATGGGAGAATGCATCAGCATCCTTCTGCATTATGTCTCCTTATTGCTTGTGATCATTCTCCACTGCAGTGCAATCTATCTTCGACATCATCTTCGCCGAAGAGATATGTTAATCTCTTTGTGAACAATGTTCATTGCCTCAATTGTGAAGGCTAATGAAATACCAAATCCCAACGGTGAATCGCGAGATCAGATGTCGGGTAGTTATGAACGTGAGATCATAGGCTTAGATGGAATGGATTGAGTTGGAAGCTAGAAGCAAGAGAAGAAGCAGAAGGGTAGCAAACGAACGAAGTCAACCAATTTGGTTGCCAAAGTCTTTTTGAAGATGAAATTTCCTTGACACCTTCTTCTGGTTTGGTTTGGGTGCATGCATTACATTAGAGTCCGTTGTTGGGCAAATGTCAGTTTACCAAAGGTCAATCGGATGGAAGTTTACTCCACTGTTTTCTATGTAGCATATCGAACTCTTGTCATTGTTTGAGAAGTGAAATGATGGATAATTAAAGTTAGGGGGCTAAAGTATCACTTGTGCCATAGTTCAGGGACGAAAGTCGTAGTTTTAAGTCGCCGGGAGCGGTGATGGTAACTGACAGCGGCAAAAATTTCCCGCGCGAGGGAATTGTTTGTTAATGGCGATTCTTCTTTTTTTTTCACCTGAACATTTCTCGCCATGATCTCATTGAAGAATAGAAAGCCAGCTCAGCCTGGCAAAGTACAAACAAAACCACTCTGGATTGCCGGCCGCCGGAGCTGCTGCTTTTCCCGGCCACCCTGTCAATTTCTTGATTAGATGAATATTTAGGCGTTGACAGCTTAGTACAGTTCCGCACCCCACCATCTTCTCCATTTCAACACTCTCTCTCTCTCTCTCTCTTCCGTCATCTGTAATTTAGTAGCCGTATTAGGAGTCAACCTTCTTCGTCGTCGTCCAAATACAGGGGATTTACGGAGAAAATATGAACCATTTACTATTTGTTGGGTTCCTCTTGTCGTATATCTTCTTCTTCTTCTTCGTCTTCCAATTTCGAGGAGACCCAACAACAACAACAACTAAAATCAGCCAAGCAGCTGCAGAAAGAAAGAAAGTCGTTCAATTCGATCCCCTTTTTGCCGGCGACCCCCGTTTGTTTCAACCCAGTTCCCCTTTGTTTCCTCACCTTATTGCCTTTCTTCGCAGCCGAATCTCTGTCCACGGAAGTTCCAACGTATCCCCCCCCCCCCCCACCCCCCTTTTCTTCTCCATGTGCAACTTTTGTTGGCAGAATTAGGGTTCTCTACCCTCGCCGATTGATTTTGGCGGTATGGGTTTCGTTCCTACTTTCGTTCTATCTTTGCCCTTCTGATGAGAATTGGGAAAGTTTGTTTCTTATATGCTTGCTTTGATACCATTTCAGTAATCAGAGGAACCCAATTTGCCAATCTCTTTTCCTAAATTAGGCGAACTGTAATTCGTTATCCTGCCTATTTATAGTAAATTTAGGTTTAGGAATTACTGACTATAGAGCATTTAGTAGATGTGATTATGGCTGATAGTTGGGATGGGAGTTATGACCATGGAAGTCAATCAGAAGAGAGCTACCATTTTGAAAGACTCCACATGGAGCCTATCTATGATTCCTTCATCTGTCCTTTAACCAAGCAAGTCATGAAAGATCCTGTCAGCTTGGAAAACGGCCAGACGTTCGACCGGGAGGGGATCGAGAGATGGTTCAAGGAATGTAGGGACAGTGGGAGGAAGTTAGTGTGTCCAATGACGCAGAAGGAGCTCAAGAGCATTGAGCTGAACCCCAGCATAGCTCTGCGACATACCATCGAAGAGTGGACCGCTAGGAATGAAGCTGTTCAGCTCGACATGGCGAGAAGGTCGTTGAATTTGAGCAGTCCAGAGAGCGAGATTCTTCAGTCGTTGCAATATATTCAATATATCTGTCAGAAGAGTCGGTTAAACAAGCATGATGTGAGGAACAACGAGCTGATACCGATGATTGTTCTTATGTTGAAGAGTAGCAGTAGGAGAGCAAGGTGTAGGGCGTTGGAGACTCTGCGAATTGTGGTTGAAGATGATGCTGATAATAAGGTTAGAGTTCAATGATGTCCGATTCTTGATAGAATCTATAGTGTGACTACCTTGGATGCAAACTAGTAACTCGATACTGGTTTTCTTGTTTTGCAGGCGATATTGGGGGAAGGCGACACAGTCCGCACAATTGTGAAATTCTTGTCACATGAGCAATCTAAAGAGAGGGAGCAAGCTGTCTCGTTGCTATATGAGCTCTCCAAATTGGAAGCTTTGTGCGAGAAGATCGGTTCAGTGAATGGAGCGATTCTGATATTGGTTGGAATGACTAGCAGCAAGTCTGAAAATGTTGCTACTGTTGAGAAGGCTGACAGAACACTGGAGAATCTGGAGAAGTGTGAGAACAATGTCCTGCAGATGGCTGTAAACGGTAGACTGCAGCCTCTTCTGAATCACATTCTTGAAGGTGCAGCTTTCACTTTCCCTGATATTTTCTAATCTTCTCTTCAGTTTGTTATGTTAGCATTTGATGAAAAGATTCTTTCTTTCCATCATTGAGGTTATTTCGTTTGCTCTAATTTTCATATTCTCTAAGCTTTCGATGGCCTATTATTTGTGATAAAACATAATGAGGAATATCATTTATCAGGTCCACTGGAAACCAAGCTCTCAATGGCATCTTATCTCGGCGAGCTAGTTCTCAACAATGACGTCCAAGTTTTTGTGGCCAGAACTGTTGGCTCATCTCTAATCACCATCATGAGAAGTGGCAATCCACAGTCGAGAGAAGCTTCACTGAAAGCTCTGAACCAGATTTCGTGCTGCGAGAAAAGTGCCAGAATCCTTATCGAGGAAGGAATCCTCCCACCACTCGTCAAGGACCTCTTCACCGTGGGTTCCAATCAACTCCCCATGCGTCTCAAAGAAGTCTCCGCCACAATTCTCGCCAATGTGGTCAACTCAGGGTATGAATTTGATGTGATCCAGGTTGGTTCAGATCATCAGACACTGGTTTCAGAAGAGATAGTTCATAATTTGCTCCATTTGATCAGCAACACGGGACCCGGTATTGAATGCAAGCTTCTCCAGGTTCTGGTTGGGCTGACGTGTAGTCAAGCCACTGTTTTGAACGTGGTAGCTGCTATCAAGAGCTCGGGAGCTATCATCAGCTTGGTTCAGTTCATAGAAGCTCCACAGAAGGATCTCCGGCTACCTTCCATCAAACTTCTGCAGAATTTGTCCCCTCACATGGGACAAGAGCTGACAGATGCACTGCGTGGCACGGTGGGCCAGCTTGGGAGCTTAATCCGAGTGGTGTCGGAAAACTTGGGGATCACAGAAGAGCAGGCTGCTGCTATTGGTCTCTTAGCCGAGCTCCCTGAGCAAGATTTAGGCCTCACTCGACAGATGCTGGACGACAGAGCGTTCGAGCTGATCTTCTCCAGAGTGGTGAAGATCAGACAGGGTGAGATTCGTGGGACCCGATTTGTAACCCCATTTCTCGAGGGACTGGTCAAAGTCCTTGCTCGGGTCACATTCGTGCTGGGGGAAGAGCACGATGCTGTGTCGTTTTGCCGCGAGCACGAGCTGGCTCGCTTGTTCATTGAGCTGCTTCAGTCCAATGGTCTCGACAATGTTCAAATGAGCTCGGCCGTGGCATTGGAGAATTTGTCCCAGGAGTCCAAGAACCTGACCAAACTGCCTGATCTGCCCACCCCGAGCTTCTGTTCGTCGGTCTTCCCATGTTTCAGCAGACCACCCGTGATCACCGGGCTGTGTAGGCTCCACCGGGGGACATGTTCCTTGAAGGAGACGTTTTGTCTGTTGGAAGGTCAGGGGGTCGAGAAACTGGTGGCCCTGTTGGATCATAACAACGAGAGAGTCGTCGAGGCAGCTCTTGCTGCTGTTTGCACGCTTCTGGAGGACGGTGTGGACATCGAGCAAGGGATGAAAGTGTTGTGTGAGGCGGAAGGGATTCGACCGATCATCGATGTGTTGGTTGAGAAGAGGACGGAGAATCTGAGGAGGAGAGCTGTGTGGGCAATGGAGAGGTTGTTGAGGTCCGAGGAGATCGCGTACGAGATTTCTGGGGATAACAATGTCGGGACTGCCCTCGTTGATGCATTTCAGCATGCTGATTACAGGACGAGGCAGATTGCTGAGCGTGCGCTGAGACATGTAGATAAGATACCCAACTTTTCTGGGGTGTTTCCCAACTTGGGTGGCGGTTGAATGAAGAAAGCTATTTTGATTTACCTTGGAGCAGTTTTCTGAGTCCCAAGTATGATTATTCCATTCAGGGTTAGTTCTGTTTTTCTTGTTCTCTCGAGCTGCTGCATATATAGTATAGATGTCTGCCTTGTTGTTGTATAATCGTGACCTGATTTTTCTCCAGTTGTAGAGAAATTTCCAAATAGTTCATTTGGGTTTTGTGCTTTATGCTGCTTTTTACAAACATACTGAATTATGGTTCGAAAAATGTACTAATATAGGAGCAAGATGAATTTTTCAAGCTGTAATGACGCCAGTAATTGGACAAATAATGTTTGTTATTGAAAGAACATGAGCAGAGATGAAGAGAATACAAAGCCAGCAAAGCAAATCATTACATGTATCCAAAGAATCATCAAAATGGAATTCGCAACTCAACCCATCCTATTTCTCCTGTAACTCAGAAACTTCCTCCATGGAAACTTCACTGAGTCAGCATTGCCGAAGCGGATTCAAAATCATTGCATGAACAAGAAGCATGAATTCTATGGGAGAGAGCCATTCAATTCAGCCACGACCTTTTCACAGATGCAGAACTGACAAGGATTTCATCATGCAAGAAGAAGCATCGAGCTCATGACCGACGTGACTCCTCGAGACATGCCTCCAGCTGGTTGTCCCTGAATCAGAGACATCACACACGGTCGAGAAATCCAACAACTGACCAAATATCTTGAACATCTCGATCCCATATATCTGCCCTCTGCCAGCTACAAACACTGCATTCCAATCCATCGGAGCATCAGGATGAACTGAAACTTCACTCCAGCTCATGTAAACGAGATCAAGCTCCCACATTTTTCTAACAGCCTTGTTTCTCTGCCCGATTCGGCCATCCCCTTCGCACCAAGAGACAGAGAGCATGAATAGTCGGCCATTGGATGCCACAAGCTTAGGGTAGTACTCAACAACTCGAGGAGGGAAGGGGGAAATTTGGATTCCCATCCAGAATCCCCTATCTATGTCATACCCCATCAGCTTGTCGATCTCGGAGTACACATAGAAGATCCCATTGCAGACAACTCCGGAACTAACTGCTCCAAAATCCACAGGAAGCCTTTGAATCTCTGACCATTTGTTGGTCAAAGGATCATAGATTTCTCCAGAGTCCAATGGCTCGTCCCATGGCCCGAGTCCTCCAACTGCAATCAGCACGTACCTCTTGCTACATTTCGCATTCAACCAATTGCTACTTCTCTGCCTCATGAACTTTTGAGAGTGAGAGTGAGAGTGAGACTTTCTGTTGGCCGTGAACGACACTTCATTATGCTGCCGCCTAAGAGATAGCCTGTGAGGATCTTCGTACACATCGGATACCCCACCAATCCTCGACCTGGGAAAACGCCTCTCCTGATGATGATGGTGATGACCAGAACTGAAATCCGGACCCACCTCGGATGCTCCAAGGACCGGCATTGACCTAGCATACCTCATGGAGGCCACCTTTCGCCACGATTTGGTCACGGGGCTAAACACCGTTACCCCTTTGTGAGTCTTAAATGAGCTCCAATCTAGTCTCCCTGGTTGACCGAGGCTAGACCGGCCACCCACGACATAGATTTCGTCATCATGAACGCTTTGAACAGAGAACATGAACCTCCCTTTCAGAATGTCAGCATCAATTTTGTGCCATTTATCTTGGCAACTATCGAAAGCATGAATCTCACCGGAGCAACATCCATCCCTAACGGTTCCAAACAGAAACAACCACGGTGTTCTATACAAGCCTTCCCACCTCATGGTCAAGAACCTAGGGCTAGTAGTCAAGTTCTTCCATTTCTTGCAGACAAGGCGAGCATTCATGAGACTGGTTAGAGGAAGTCTTACCAGGCAGAGCTCTAGAATATCGTCAGGAAGAAACATGTGCAGCTTGCTGGTATCCAATGGATTCGCAATCGGAGCCGCCTCAATCTGCAAATCCCTCCTGCTGCTGTGCTTCTTCCAAAACATTTCTCTAAAGAAGCAATCGACTCCCGTTTCTTCCCCGCCGCAGATGGGCTTGTAAGGCGTCCTGCCCGCTTCATCGCTGGAAGTTGACGACCTCCTCCGGCCGCCGGAGTCCCCAACAAAATCATCTCCGGTATCGGCCCCGACCTTGCAGCCGCCTCCTCGTCCCATCAGGGTAAGACATTTCAACGAAAACCCATCGTTGGCGGGAGAATCTTGATCGGGGGTCTCCTTCTTTCTCAGCTTCTGGCTAACTGTCCGTACCAGTCGGCGGGAGACTGTCAACGCCTCGAAATCGCGGCGGAGTGAGGCGTCTCTGTCGGATAACATTTCCCGCCCCTAAGTGGAAGTAAAAGTCATGGATCGAAAGCAGAGCTCGGAAAGGAGAAGCAATGAGACGAACCCAGGAAACAATCAAGCAAACGGGATCTGGTTTCCAGAGCTAAGAAAGCGAATCTAAGTGGGAAATGAAGAGGGAGAAGAGTAGGTGAAAGGGGAATTGGGAATTGGGAAGTTGAGAGGAATTAGCAGGGAAGCGAAGCAAAGGGAAGGGTAGAGGTGCGGCCCGTAAGCTTGAGAGAAGGTTTTCCAGTGGTGTTACTTTCAGTGAAGGGGGAATGATGAAGACGAACTACGACCGTTTGGGATGGCGAGGGAATTTAGTAAAGCGACTCTCCATCTCCGGCGGACCCGGACCCCACCGCCACCTCTCTACCTTTTCTTTTCTCGTTTTTTTTTTTAATTTTTAATTTATTTTTCTCCTTGATTATAGCCTTTTCATAATTAAAATGATTAAAAGAAGTTAATGAATCATATCAGTCGGTTGGACCGATTAATTCATGGGATAGGTTAGCATGCTAACCCCAACAGCCTGTTTGGATTGACAAAAAAGTAAGGAATTGGAATTCCATTTCCAATTCCATTTCCATATATTATGTTTGGAATAATAAAAAGGTTGAGAATTGAATTCCAATGGGTCTAAAATATGGGAATTACAATTCCTATCAAAAGTGATAGGAATTGAGAGAATGAAGATGGAATTAGTGGGACCCATCAATACGTTCTATTATTTTGTTGACCCACTATCATTTTACTCTCTTTCTCTCTCATTCATATTTCATTTCCCAAAATAAAACAAACATATTACATTATTCATTATGGTTAAAAGTGCAATTCATTTCCATAGTTGTAGGAATTATACCAAACACTAGAATTGGAAATGGAATTCTATAAAAATAAAAAGTTGAATTCCATTTCCATTTCCATTTCTTCCGGAATTGTATCCAAACAGGCTGTTAAGGGGTTGGAAAAATGACACCCCCTTATTAATTGGTCAGTTCTTCATTAATTATTGACTAGTATTAATGAAAGTAACCATAATAAATGTTCTGTTATTAAATACAAAGTAAGCATTAAATACACCACATTAATTACTCATTTTTTTTTAAAAAATCTAAACATATACAAAAATACAACTCTCTCTCTCATCTTTGATCTTTCTCTCTCCTATCTCTATTCTTCCTTTCCGAGCAGCCTCCGACCACCAAGTTTCCTCCGACCACCACTTTTCGCCGGTAAAATCCGGCGACAGACTCTCTCCGGTCACCTGCGAAAATATACCACTGCACAAGTGTGGTTGTATCACAATTTTAATGTGTTTATTATTATTTTATTATTTATGTCGATTAATGACTTATGATACCGATATGATGAGAAGTTAATGAATCAAATCATTTGGTTGGACCGCTTGCTTCACGTAATCACGTATTTATGGCTGCATCTCTATTTTTACTGTATTTGTTACAAAAAAAAATATTGCTGTGTCTATATGATTCAATTATATAATGTAAATTGTTGTGCTTGTTCGGTAGATTGAAAAAATTGATCACTAATACCTTGAATGTTGAAACTTTTGTTGGTGTTTGAGGTGGTTTGGATGGAACAGTTTTTTTTAGATTGTGCATGTTGTATCATTTCTCATCGAGCATTTTTGTACGCATCTCCTTAGAAGGTAATTTTAAGGTGGCTCATTTTCTCTCTATTGGAATAAATTTCATAACTAATTTTGTTCGATGAATTCACAATTGTTCGAATTGTATAATCGTCAATTACCAACATCGGTAAACGCATTTTATACAAATATGAAATGAAACCACGCCAAACTTGTACAAAATCAATATGTGGTTTTAACAATTAGCACTTCTCTAATTGAGGGGAAAACAATAGAATGATGGTGAAAGAAGTGATTAGAGTTACCTCTCTTATTTTTCCCCCGCTCCTTTATTCTCTTTTTCCCGCTTCTCTTTTTGTTTGGGTAAATGCCATATTTGGTCACTGATATTACTAAACCGTGTCATGTTTAGTCACTACAAAAATTTAATATCAATTTTGGTCACTCGAATTACTGAAACTGGTCACATTTAGTAACTCTCTTGTAGCCTCTGTCCAACTCCGGTCACTCTAATTATTCAAGCATGTCACATTTAGTCACTCGAATTACTGAAACTGGTCACATTTAGTCACTCTCCTGTTAGTTTCAAAGAATTTTGGTCACTCGAATTACTGAAACTGATCACATTTAGTCACTCTCCCGTTAGTTTCCGTCAAACCATTTCAGTAATTCGAGTGACCAAAATTAATATTAAATTTTTCTAGTAACTAAACACGACACAATTTAATAATCACAGTGATCAAATATGGCATTTATCTCTTTTTGTTTTCTACATCCTCTGATTGATACTTGACCCGTCCAGCGCCCACTACAGTTTTCTGTTGTTTTTTTTTTCGGGTTTCACCGCCGGCCACCTCAGTACCCATGGTTTTACCTCTTTCTTTGTTTATGTCTGTTTGCGACGGTGACGGCGGTGGAGTCATGTTGTTTCAACCACCGAGTCCCCGGCCACCGCCGGGGATTTGTCGCTATTGATAAGAGTGGTTGAAGATCTGACGATCCAAACAACTGTCTCATGTCTAATAATCGTTGGCATGGCACGAGAAGCTGATGATATGACTAGCTAGCTACCATCCGACTGACATAACACTTTCCATGCATATCCTTCTACTTAATTTTGTTCTATCTCTGTCTAATTATCAGATCATCAAACTTAATTATCTCGATCTTGGGCTTTCTCTTCTTCAAGAAAAGTATATGGATGAATTAAAAAGTTAAAACGTGTTGTTTTCATTAAGTTGTGAATATCTATACAAGGTCGAGCTTGTAGAGGCTCGAGCTTTGCAAACCCTATTGCAACTTAATCACAATGAAGCTACCAACAATGAACAAACCGGGGCTAACTTATTCCACTAACTACAATAATCATCCAATGAGAATAAGACACATCGCAATGTGCCACGATGACAAGCGGAATAGACGAATAAGTGGGGCGGCGGCGGCGGCGACTTCGTGCATGTTTTTTTTTCAAACAACGACAAAAGAATCCCGACTGATCTAGGTTAGATTGCGATGTGCCACGATGACAAGCGGAATAAACGAATAAGTGGGGTGGCGTCAGCGACTTCGTGCAGAGCTTTTTTTCAAACAACAACAAAAGAATCCCGACTGATCTAGGTTAGACTTGTGAACCAAGAACCCGATTGAGTCCATTCTTCATCAATGTCGCAATGTTAGCCAAACAAGCTTGGAAGTTGCTACAGAATTCGGAAAGTAACCTTGCCAAAATATATATAAGGCTCGGAACCACCCAAATAAACACTTTGTCATGGTCATACAAGGGCCCCGCCCATCATGGCTTGGCAAGTTATCCTGGAAGGAAAAGACCTCATAATAAAAGGATTACGCTGGCAAGTTGGTTCAGGAACCCAATGGTATCCTATCTTCTGGATCCTCTCTCGATGACATGGAATTTAAACATACTTAAATCATTATTTTATCCATCTACTATAGAAAAGATTTTATCCATCCTGCTCCCGTCCTACCCGCGAGATGATAAACTAATTTAACACTATGATAAATATGGAGAGTATACAGTTAAATCTGGTTATTATCTGCTTGTGTCTGAGCTAAACCCCCATCCCAATGATATTTCAGACTTTTTGGATACAAAATTCTGGAAGTGCTTGTGGAGTATCCCGGTGCTTCCCAAGATTAAATTCTTTTTGTGGAGGCGGATCCATGGTTTCCTTCTAGTTATAGGAATATTGCATTATCAAAAAGTTATTTCCTCCAATTCTTGTCTGGTATGTTGTGAGGAAATTGAAGATCCCAAATACTGGTTCTTTGATTGTAGAATAACCAGAGAATTGTGGAGAATAACAGGTTTAGATCATCTTCGAGATACGATGAAGAGAACCCCTTTGGATCTAGCTTGGAGAAACTTATTCTTTACCCCAAACATATCCAAGAGTGATGTTGCCTTCACAACATTCCTCTTTTGGAGAATATGGAAAGGCTGATGCAAGGCCACTTATGGACATATTTTATATCAAGTGTAGGTTCTGTACAGGAAACTAACAACTCATGTGGAGGAATGTGGTACGACAGAGGTACAAAAGGTTCAGAAGTCTCAAGGAGTGCAAAGGCCAATATCGCGTTCCTCCGCAAGACCAAGTTCTCAGGCTCGAGGATCAGACATAAGCTATCCTAGTGAAGATATTTTGGTCCGCTTTGATGGGGCCACATAAAGCACAACAAGGTTGTGAAACTTGATTCGTCGGCTTCACAAATCCCCAACGGGTCTTCACTACTGCTACTTCAAGGAGGTCTTTACACTGCAGAGCAGGAATTGTCGTAGAGGAAGTCCACTCTCTTTCCTCTTCCTTTGAGTCAGTCTCGTGTCTTTTCGCTTCTCGGAGTGTCAACAGAGCTGCCCATTTCGTGGAAAAACAAGCTCTCTTATCAGGATTCCACTTGCATACGGACTATCATTCTTTATTATTATCTATCTGTAATTTGTAGACTAGCTAGTCATGCCCCAGGGGCTTATCTTGGTAAAAAAAATTTTATTGGTTTACAAAAATTCGACACAAGCAGAGTGTAAGGATGATAAATTCGGTGTTGTTGTTGTTATTATTATTAAGTATGGTTACATATAAGAATTCAGAAATCTCGTGTTCCATATCCAGCTCTTTTTTATTAATGAAACATAAGAGTCCTAATTTAGTCAATAACCTTCATACGATCTCATTCACATAGTGCATGGTAGTCATCAATCAAACACAAAATAATCAAATTTTGCAACCAACCCTTTACTCCGTCAAAATTATGAACCAAAAATCATATTAATTGCTGTTAAGCTTTGTGGAATCTAGCAACTAATTAAGGGATCGTTTGCTTCATGGATTTAAAAATGAGGGTATTATAATTTAAAAGAGGATTGTTATTCGTCGCCCTACTTTTTACTAATCATCGCCCTAAATTGATGTAAAAAGTCCTAAATACCCTTAATGAATATCATATTCTCATAACATAAATATTGTAAAACCCTTACTTTATATTACAAAACGAAACAGTAAAATACATCGAATTTAAACATACTCGGGCCCGAGCTCTACAGATATATTTTTTTTTTAACTTCAAACCATAATTTACATTTTCATCAGAGTCAAAACAGAAAACCGGGGAAGTCCGCTTTGTTACAAAATCCACACAACATAAAACATTTAAGGAGTTCGGAGTCCGCCGCCCACCTCATGGCTTCCCTTCACGCTTGAGTCCCGATATCTACAGTACAGACCTTACTTCTGATCTTGATCTGAGGAAAAATGATGACGAAGGATGAGTCGTCGCTCAGTGAATAAATTCTAAGCTCGGGTCGACATCAATACAAAAACCGTATTGGGCAGAAACACCCTAGCACATAACAGGACTTAAATTGTTTTATCACACTTTTCATTTTACTGAATCAATCAAGTTCCCATGCTCACATTCCACAGTCAAACACATAGAATAGATGACAGATAGAGGCATTTTGCTTAAACAATTTCACTTTCAGACTTGCTAAATGATATACTCCTCGGGTAGTACAGTAGTGGAAGGCTGCAGGATAACCATGACCAGCCATCACATAACTGGAGTACCGCGGGACAAAACCCCATCCGGTACGAACAGGAGTGCACAAGGCACGAAACAGGAGTGCTCAAGGCACGAAACAGGAGTGCTCAAGGCACGAAACAGGAGTGCTCGCACCAACAGGAATATCGCGGGACACAACCCGGACCGATACAAAAACAGGAGTCGCCACGGGATTACCCCAGCCTGGCTAACTGAAAAGAACAGGAGTACCGTGGGTCGTCACCCAATCGGCACGGTGCGGAGCACGAGCGCTCAAACAGGAGTATCGTGGGGTTTACCCACATCGATACAAACAGGACATACTACTGTACCGAGGTATCATGAAACCTTTTTTCTTATTCTTAAGTATTCACCTCTTTTCATTAATAGTGCACTTAGACACTATAGGCTCAAAAGCATTCATAATGCTTTTGTACCCTCAGTCACAACAGAGTGGAATGTAAGCTGAGGAGCTTACTCCGAGTTATTCAAGCAAAACAGGATTAGTAAGCCTAATGACTTACTCCAAATCTGAACAGACAAGACGGGTTCGCAAGTTCGAATACTTGCTCATAATCCGCACAATAAATCAACAAAATGTCTTTCCATATCTCATTCACAATTCATGCATTTCCAACTTCATACCAAATGCAGATAATGAATAAACACAAACAAGCCATATCACATAGCCATATCATTTCCCATAAATTCCCATATTATACCGGAGCCTCTTCATGACCCCGATATGTATTCGGGCCACTTCATGACCCGGATACTGTGATTATGTTGAAGTAGATCTAAGATTAGAATCTACTCATAGCTTTGTCTTCACTCGGCTATGCCCTTGCCTTTGGATGAGCCCCCGGCTTGATCCTTACCTTTATGTACAAGATTTCCAGGTTATGCAAGCACCAAGACACGTATACAATCATCATAATCATGGTTGTATTCATGCATGTCAATAAGACCACTAGGGAAGTCATACGATTGTACACTTTTCCATGCTTCCTCATTTTGATCATTTCTCCCTTGATACTTAACCAAATCCGTTTATTCTCGTTGCTACTGAAACTAGATTCATAGGGCTATAACATATCCAAATTTCAGACCATTTGGATCAGCCTTTTGATCCCAGAAATCATTTTAACTTGACATTTCAAAACTGTCAACAACTTTCTTTCACTTTAAAACCAACTCTTCTTCTTCTAACAATTGTTCCTGACCACTCCGACATCAAAACTACATTCCGAACGGTCAATTCGAAGAACCACCTATACTTAACCTCATACCAAATTTCTAGAACGATCCAACGACGGATTCGCACAGGATCTTACCTCTAATCTGCTGTCCTGCTACAGAAAAACAGTATCGCACCCCTTCTGTCCAGCGACTTTCCTCGATGAACCAGAGATCATATCGATGATCCCAACGGTCAAATCGTAGCCAAAGAAGTATGAAACCCAACCTACAAATCTCAGGACGATCCAACGGTTTGATTGTCCGGAATCGTCCTTCTCACAGGCTGTCTCGCTGCTGGACGGAAATTGGCAGCACCCCCTTTGCCTCCTCCTTCTTCCTCTTCCTCTCCTTGATATGCTTTTCTTTCTAGCTTTCACTCTTTGTTTCTGAAAGGGGGTGGTGGTTTTTGAAGTGGTGAAACCAGGTGAAAGGAAGAGAGCAAGAGAGAGACGTGGGAGAGAGTGAGGGGAAGGGATGAGAAGGAAATGAGAGATAAGAGGATGGGCAGATTTTTATCTCCCTTATCTAGAATTCTCCATCCCTCCAAATTGTCTATTTGGCACTAAACTTTCCTTCACTTGCAATTAAGTCTAGCACTTCCACTATTCACTTTCTTTTTGGTTCAAAAGACTAATTTTTGTAACCCAATCACAACCACGTAATTATAACGTAATACTAGTACGAGGGCAGGGATGTTACATTTCCTCCCCTCTAAATAAAATTTCGTCCCGAAATTTTACCTTGAAACAAGTAGGGGTATTGTGCTCTCATGCTTTCTTCCGTCTCCCACGTGGCTTCTTCTCCAGTGTGACTTTTCCAAATTACTTTCACCATAGGAATACTTCGATTCCTAAGTTGTTTCACCTTTCGGTCCACGATCTCTTTTGATTCCTCCACATACTTCTTTGTCAGTAATTCTAGCGAACAACCCCATCTAATGGGTATAAAGTGAGCCGACTTTGTCAATCGGTCCACAATGACCCAAACGGCGTCGTTCTTCTTCTGAGTCCTAGGTAGACCATAGACAAAGTCCATGGTAATCTTTTCACATTTCCATTCTGGAATGGACAGTGGTTGCAATTTTCCCGCAGGGGCTTGATGTTCAGCTTTCACTTTCTGACATACCAGACACGTCAAGACATGTTCAGCCACTTCTTTCTTCATCCTTGGCCACCAATAATGAGATCTCAATGAACGGTACATTTTTGTCGTTCCGGGATGCATTGCATAAGGAGAGGAATGAGCTTCTTCCAAAATCTCCCTTCGCAATTCATCCACATTTGGAACACAAAGTCTTTCATTTAGTGTCAGAACGCCATCTCGGAGTGTGAATTTAGTTTCTTCCCCTTTACGACTCTTATCAATAATCTTCCTCAATTCAGGGTCTTGATCCTGAACTTTAATAATTCTTTCTCTCAGAATTGGTCGCACTTGTAAAGTGGCCAATAACCCTCCTGTGGAATTCATTTCCAATTCAACACTCATAGCTCTCAAAGCAATCAAATTTGCCATTAAACCAGTCTCCTCATTTTTAGTACGATGCGTGGTCTTTCGACTCAAAGCATCTGCCACAACATTTGCTTTGCCTGGATGGTATTCGATGGTACAATCGTAATCTTTCAACAACTCTAACCACCTTCTTTGCCTAAGATTTAGCTCTTTTTGCTCCATCAAGTACTTGAGACTCTTATGATCAGTAAAGATCTGAAAAGTCTCACCATACAAATAATGACGCCAAATCTTTAAGGCAAATACCACAGCCGCCAGTTCTAAATCATGAGTCAGATAAGATTTCTCATACGGTCGTAATTGTCTGGAAGCATAAGCAATTACTTTGCCATGTTGCATGAGAACACATCCTAACCCTTGATGCGAAGCATCACTGTATACCACATAACCTCCAGTTCCTGAGGGAAGGGCAAGAACCGGTGCAGTGGTTAACTTCCGCTTCAACTCTTCGAAACTGGATTGACATTTATTATCCCATATAAAAGATTGCTCTTTTCTCAATAACTTTGTCAATGGTGCAGCAATCAGAGAGAACCCCTCAATGAACCTTCTGTAGTATCCGGCCATGCCAAGGAAACTTCTTAGTTCAGGTATATTTTTCGGTGGTTCCCATTGTATCACTGCTTCTACTTTCCTTGGATCCACCTCTATACCTCTCTCAGACACCACATGGCCCAAAAATACTACTTGATCCATCCAAAATTCACATTTGCTGAACTTAGCATACAACTGCTTTTCCCTCAGAATCTGCAGTACGATTCTCAAATGCTCCATGTGCTCTTCTTCACTTCTAGAATACACTAGAATATCATCAATAAAGACGATCACAAACTTATCTAGATATTCCTGAAACACTCGGTTCATCAGTGCCATGAACACAGCTGGAGCATTTGTTAACCCGAAAGGCATAACAAGAAATTCGTAATGCCCATACCTAGTACGAAAAGATGTCTTCGGTATGGACTCATTCGCTACCCTTAATTGATGATAACCTGATCTTAGATCAATCTTCGAAAAGACCCTCGATCCTTGTAGTTGGTCAAATAAATCATCAATCCGAGGTAACGGATATTTATTCTTAACCGTTAACTTGTTGAGCTTCCGGTAGTCAATACACAGACGAAAAGTTCCATCCTTCTTCTTCACAAATAATACCGGAGCGCCCCAAGGGGAGACACTAGGTCTAATGAACCCCTTATCTAGCAACTCTTGAAGTTGCTCCTTCAGTTCTTTAAGTTCAAACGGAGACATCCGGTACGGAGATACAGAGATCGGAGCAGTGCCCGGTATCAGTTCAATAGTGAAGTCTATTTCCCTTTCCGGAGGTAATCCTGGCAGTTCCGAAGGGAACACATCCAGGAACTCCTTCACAACCGGAACATTTTCAGGTTTCAATTCCGGTTTGCCCTCAGTCACATAAGCCAGATACACTTCACAGCCTTCCTTCATCAAACTCACCACCTTGGTGGCCGAGACTAGGCAACTAGGCACCACCTGTCTAGTCCCTCGAAAAATCACATTCTGACCATCTGGTCTTTCGAAAATTACTTCCTTAGTATAACAGTTCATTACGGCTCTATGTTGGCTTAACCAATCCATTCCTAGAATTATATCAAATTCAGTCAGCATTAACCTCAATAAGTTAGCTGGCAGAATAGTTCCAGCTAGACTTATTGGGGCATCAGGATAGGCATATTCAATCACTACGGTATCTCCTACTGGGGTTTGAACTATTACATTCTTGTTCAACATTTCAGAGTGCACAGGCAACCCACGTGAGAATGGAGAAGATATGAATGAATGAGTGGCACCAGGATCAATCAACGCATAAGCGGCAAGATCGTAGATAAGAACCGTACCAGTAACGACCTCTGGAGAGATGTCAGCCTCCCTCCTAGTCATAGCAAAGGCTCGTGGCTGCACTTCACCCCGACTGCTTTGTCCACCCTGACTTTTGCCACGATTATTACCACCTCTTCCTGATCCTCTCACTGAACCTCCAGTCCTTCTGGACCCTTGAATTGTGGTCTGGGATCCAGCAGGCCTGGACTCTGACATGTGGGGACAATCACGGAGGAAGTGGCTGGTGTCTCCACATCGGAAACACCCACCAGTCACCCTCCTACAAACACCCACATGCTGATTCCCACAATGTGGGCAAATAGGAGCTGGGCCTGCACTTCTCCGCTCCTGTCCGGGGTAACTGGCCACTGGACGTGAAATCTTCGGACTCTGATTAGGTCTACCCCCGAATGAGTTCCCAGCACTCGAGGAACCCACATTCTTCCACGTTCTTTTCCTTCCTTCAGCCATTTGTGCTCCCATTTCATTCACCAAATCCTCTGCTCTCATGGCAGCCTCTCTCAAGGTGGCAAGATCAGCCGTCTCTGATTTTGCTACTATCATCTTGATCTGGGGATTCAGGCCTTGCTCATAGCGGTTACATCTAGCTCGTTCAGTAGGTACCAACTCCATCGCGAAGGTCATCAAACGATGGAAAGTGGCATCATACTCTTTAACAGTCTGCCCCCTTTGCTGTTTCAGGTCCAGAAACTCTTTCTTCTTCCTATCCACATACAGATCAGGCACATATTGCTTACGGAATTTCTCAAGAAATTCCGCCCAGGTATATCGAATAGTACGATCCTGAGCCCCGGGTACGGTCAACCACCAGTCATAAGCATCAGACCTGAGCAGGTAGTACATATACTCCACTCTTGCTTCATCAGGACACTCAAGGAGGTTAAAGATTCGTTCCATCTCCTTGATCCAGTCCAGAGCATCTATAGGGTCAATAGCCCCTTTAAAGAACTCAGCCCCCATATTCCTCAGCCTTTCAAAATCCTTGACATAAGGGTTGGCTCTATTGCGGGACTCAGCATTATTCCCATTAAAATTAGAACCTCCAGCATTAGGGTTCCCGTGAGGTTGCGGATCTGCTCCTTGACTGAACTCCACAAAAACAAAATCCGGAGTCAAAATCAATAATTAGTCACTTCCCCGTGAAATCATTTAAGTTTTCACAGTAAAATCTCGTTTAAAACAATTGGTATCCACGGGATCATATCCCAGCTCTGATACCACAAATGTAAAACCCTTACTTTATATTACAAAACGAAACAGTAAAATACATCGAATTTAAACATACTCGGGCCCGAGCTCTACAGATATATATATTTTTTTTTAACTTCAAACCATAATTTACATTTTCATCAGAGTCAAAACAGAAAACCGGGAAAGTCCGCTTTGTTACAAAATCCACACAACATAAAACATTTAAGGAGTTCGGAGTCCGCCGCCCACCTCATGGCTTCCCTTCACGCTTGAGTCCCGATATCTACAGTACAGACCTTACTTCTGATCTTGATCTGAGGAAAAATGATGACGAAGGATGAGTCGTCGCTCAGTGAATAAATTCTAAGCTCGGGTCGACATCAATACAAAAACAGTATTGGGCAGAAACACCCTAGCACATAACAGGACTTAAATTGTTTTATCACACTTTTCATTTTACTGAATCAATCAAGTTCCCATGCTCACATTCCATAGTCAAACACATAGAATAGATGACAGATAGAGGCATTTTGCTTAAACAATTTCACTTTCAGACTTGCTAAATGATATACTCCTCGGGTAGTACAGTAGTGGAAGGCTGCAGGATAACCATGACCAGCCATCAGATAACTGGAGTACCGCGGGACAAAATCCCATCCGGTACGAACAGGAGTGCACAAGGCACGAAACAGGAGTGCTCAAGGCACGAAACAGGAGTGCTCAAGGCACGAAACAGGAGTGCTCGCACCAACAGGAATATCGCGGGACACAACCCGGACCGATACAAAAACAGGAGTCGCCACGGGATTACCCCAGCCTGGCTAACTGAAAAGAACAGGAGTACCGTGGGTCGTCACCCAATCGGCACGGTGCGGAGCACGAGCGCTCAAACAGGAGTATCGTGGGGTTTACCCACATCGATACAAACAGGACATACTACTGTACCGAGGTATCATAAAACCTTTTTTCTTATTCTTAAGTATTCACCTCTTTTCATTAATAGTGCACTTAGACACTATAGGCTCAAAAGCATTCATAATGCTTTTGTACCCTCAGTCACAACAGAGTGGAATGTAAGCTGAGGAGCTTACTCCGAGTTATTCAAGCAAAACAGGATTAGTAAGCCTAATGGCTTACTCCAAATCTGAACAGACAAGACGGGTTCGCAAGTTCGAATACTTGCTCATAATCCGCACAATAAATCAACAAAATGTCTTTCCATATCTCATTCACAATTCATGCATTTCCAACTTCATACCAAATGCAGATAATGAATAAACACAAACAAGCCATATCACATAGCCATATCATTTCCCATAAATTCCCATATTATACCGGAGCCTCTTCATGACCCCGATATGTATTCGGGCCACTTCATGACCCGGATACTGTGATTATGTTGAAGTAGATCTAAGATTAGAATCTACTCATAGCTTTGTCTTCACTCGGCTATGCCCTTGCCTTTGGATGAGCCCCCGGCTTGATCCTTACCTTTATGTACAAGATTTCCAGGTTATGCAAGCACCAAGACACGTATACAATCATCATAATCATGGTTGTATTCATGCATGTCAATAAGACCACTAGGGAAGTCATACGATTGTACACTTTTCCATGCTTCCTCATTTTGATCATTTCTCCCTTGATACTTAACCAAATCCGTTTATTCTCGTTGCTACTGAAACTAGATTCATAGGGCTATAACATATCCAAATTTCAGACCATTTGGATCAGCCTTTTGATCCCAGAAATCATTTTAACTTGACATTTCAAAACTGTCAACAACTTTCTTTCACTTTAAAACCAACTCTTCTTCTTCTAACAATTGTTCCTGACCACTCCGACATCAAAACTACATTCCGAACGGTCAATTCGAAGAACACCTATACTTAACCTCATACCAAATTTCTAGAACGATCCAACGACGGATTCGCACAGGATCTTACCTCTAATCTGCTGTCCTGCTACAGAAAAACAGTATCGCACCCCTTCTGTCCAGCGACTTTCCTCGATGAACCAGAGATCATATCGATGATCCCAACGGTCAAATCGTAGCCAAAGAAGTATGAAACCCAACCTACAAATCTCAGGACGATCCAACGGTTTGATTGTCCGGAATCGTCCTTCTCACAGGCTGTCTCGCTGCTGGACGGAAATTGGCAGCACCCCTTTGCCTCCTCCTTCTTCCTCTTCCTCTCCTTGATATGCTTTTCTTTCTAGCTTTCACTCTTTGTTTCTGAAAGGGGGTGGTGGTTTTTGAGGTGGTGAAACCAGGTGAAAGGAAGAGAGCAAGAGAGAGACGTGGGAGAGAGTGAGGGGAAGGGATGAGAAGGAAATGAGAGATAAGAGGATGGGCAGATTTTTATCTCCCTTATCTAGAATTCTCCATCCCTCCAAATTGTCTATTTGGCACTAAACTTTCCTTCACTTGCAATTAAGTCTAGCACTTCCACTATTCACTTTCTTTTTGGTTCAAAAGACTAATTTTTGTAACCCAATCACAACCACGTAATTATAACGTAATACTAGTACGAGGGCAGAGATGTTACAAATATCATATTCTTAGTGTAAATATCATATTTTCATACCAAGAATATGATATTTTTTCATTAAAGGCACTGATAACTTTTTACATCAATTTATGGTGATGATTAGTAAAAAGTAGGGCGACGAACAGAAAGCACATTTAAAAACTAAAGGATTTATCAAGAATTTGAGGGATCATGGATTTGTATCAATTCTTTGTTTGTTGAGATGTTTTATTATTGATGTAAGGATTTGGAATTTAGAAATAAAAGTCCAAAATTATCTTACTGTCATTTTCAATTTGTTTGTCATGTTTATGATGTACACAAACAAGGACAATACGCACTAATAAGCATAATGTTGTCACACGAACAATAATAATAAACGAAAAAATTTTATTTAACTTTTAACGTGACATATATCATTTATAAATTTGTTGTCCTCCTTTTCAAGAGTAACATATAGAAACATATATCAAACTTAGGAGAACAAATAATTTCACGTTACAATGAAATGGGAAACCAGAATACAAGAAATTACATAAAAAAATCTAACTCATACTTTCACTTTAATTGAATATTTATATTATTATTTCTTTGGTAGAATATTTATATTATTTTTTTGTTGTTAATTTATTGATTAATTATAATGTAAAATAAGTAAATATGAGGACAACCTTGAAATATTCAAAGGTCGTGAGGGTATATAGGTAAAATTTAATCATGAATTTATGGCATGTTCCAAATCCCACATCAATATGTGGGATGTACAAGTCCGTGAGATCCACGAATTTGGATCCTTAAAATTCGTTGGCTTCACAAATTTGATTCCTAAAACAAGTGCCCGCAAATGATGAATTTTGCTTAAATCCATGATAGATTGGATTTGGTACCCAAATCCACAAAACAAACAACCACTGAGTTCCCCTTCACACGCAAGTCAACATACAAATGGGAAATTAGACCACACGCAATTAAGCAATTGAAAATATGTACTTACCCGATAACTTATGCACTCTCAAGGCTCTTTGAAAGTGCATTTTCTTCACTTAATGCATGGAAATTATGCCTTTTGTGTTTGTTTGATATGTAAATTAACATTATGTGTTTTTTTTCATTAATGGAGGATGAAGCCAAGAAATGGAAGACAACAGGAGAGGGGAAGAGGAGAGGAACTAGATATCGAGGGCACCACAATCCGGTGCTCAAAAGAGATCCCCTGATTATCCTCTGCAAGATTTTACAAAGCTTGATAGGAGGATTAATAAGTTCGTGCATATCGTAGGAATAGATGAAATTGTGATTCGAGAACCAGTTCACAACTCTATTTCCTTCCCGATATGTGGGAACAATGTTAATCAACCAATTCTGAGCTATATACCGCCAGATCGAAGTCAACAACGCAACGTACAGGTGAATAGGATCTTGCCGATCCTTAATCAACCGGATAGCCTTCTACGAGTCCGATCATTATGTGTTATTATAACAAGTTATAATACACACATCATTGTGTAAAATATTAATGAAGCAATTTTGACAATGGGGTGGGTTGTGGGGTAATGAGTATGACAACAAAAGCAAACAATGTGGCATTTATGACCAACATGTGTACCTTTCTTTCAATGTCCTCCCTTTTACAAATAATTATAGTAAATTGCCGTCTCATTTGTTTAATTTCCCTTACAAAATACATTTTTATGAGAAACAATCAATTGTTGTACGTATAAAGTATGAACAAAGGGTTCAAATTTAATAATTTGGTCCATTATTGATAAAACCATGTTTGTTGTTGTTGGCTTTGGGATTGGAAGTAGTGATGACAAAGGGCGGTCGGATAACTTATGCACCAAGCGTAAGTCGGATAAGCCGATTCATTCTTATATGTTATTTGAAAAAAATACATGTAAAATTTTGATTTTTACAATAAAACGAAGGGAAAACACTTTATAAATGAGAAATAGTGATAATAAAATGGATAATTGTGTCTAACTATTTAAATAATCAAATCCAACTAGTTGAAAAAGGTAAAAATAAAAGAAATATGAATATATATTATAAGAAATTGAGATAGTTTGAGCAAGAACGGGATAGGGAGAGGCGAAAGTAGATACCCAAGGCTGCCCCCAACTACTAAGAGTCGGGTAATACCCGACGGGATGGGTTTAAATTTTCATCCATAATTGGAAGTTGTGAAGGAGATGCATAATTGGTAGTTCATGGCATGTTTGGTATTAATGGGAAATTGGTCTTGTGACGGTTAAGGGAGTGTGCGGCTGCGGGTGGGATGTAGCTAGGGGTGTACATGGATCGGGTGGTATGGGTTTAACCATTTTAATCACTCGACCCATGCATTATGATTAGGGAAATATTAAACTCAAACTCACCCAAAAAATTTAAAACCCTATTGTTTGTTTCTAATTGAATTGGGTGGGGTTGGCGATATTTTTTAGGTAAAAATTCAACCAACACAAAATATATAATTATTCTATACTATAAAAATATTTTATAACTAATTAAAATTTCAAACGAATAAACCGAGGTGAAAGGTATCAAAAATCACAAATATTGTTTAAATTTTAATAAAATGTGATTTACTTCAACACATGTCTAGTTTTTTTCATGATATTTGTTAAAATAGGCTAAATATGTTATAAACGAACGCATCAATAATATGTTATTCTATTAAAATTGTACACAAGAAAAAGGATTATGTAAATTATAGCTATATTAAATCTATGTCTATATTTTAAGCCGAAAAATGCATTAGATTAGGGAGACCATGGGAGAAAAACATGGCAAAATATCTTAATTTTCTCATAAGTATGGTAATATACGAGATAAATATTTTTTGGGTACGAACTCATACCAATAGTTGGAACACGGGTTGGGTCGGGTTCTACGGGTTGTGTAATCCAAAATCCAAACTCAACCCAAAAGAGACTGGTTGTACAAAAGAAAATCCTCACCCAACCACGAGTGGGTTGGATCGAGTTGGACGGATCGGTCAGTTTGCGGGTGTGTTAGTTCACCCCTAGATGTAAGGGTTGAGGGGGAGTGGTTTGGGTCAAGAGAGTTGGTTGGATTTATTTGTTCGATTTATCGGTTCGATATTCGTAATTTCGATTCGGTCGATGCGATCCTGAATTCCGAATTAGGAGCTTTTCCCCTTTGAATGCCGATCTGAATAACATTAAATTTGGTTTTGAACGGTTCGGTTCGAAATGCAAACCCAATCCGGATGCTCACCCCTAGTCACAACTCACAATACTCCACCACCTCCATCTCCATGGCTCCCTAATTTGACAACAAATTTCAAGGCCCAGCTTGTCAAACCTGCTCCTTCAATTGTCTCCCGTCGGGCCTACGATCCATTGCCTCAATAGACTGGGCAGTCTTCGGCCCATATTCAAAGCCTTCTCCTTAGAAAAAGTTAAGGACCAGACTCGTGACATTTTGACTGTCCAGACTGTGTGGTTAGCACTTAGCTGTAGCCCCGAAGTGACGGCACTGGAACGAACGATCGCCTGATCGGAGATTTCAAGGACGGCGGAGTCAATGGCGTCGCTGCTTCCGGCCGTCATCCTCCTCCTCACGTTTGCAGCTGTTTCCGCCGTCCACGACAAGTGCGCCGCTTGCAATGCCGTCGCGGTACCTACCTTCTATTTTCCATTCCTGTTTCATTTCCTTTTCTCCGAATCCTCGCTTTAGATCTTCGATCACTCGAAGCAAATTACCGACGGTCAAATTCTGACGATGGTGGCGAAAAATGGATTCTTTGTTCGCAGGCGGAGTTGGAGATTGGGCTGTCCAATGTAAGGATTCTGCTCAATTGCGTCTGTGACTATTGTGTTTACAGAGCGTTCAATGTTGAAAATCTTTTTTGGGGTTCTTCGTTTTGTTTAGGAAAAGCCCAGGAATCATTTAGACATGAGGAATCGTTTGAACTCAAAAGGGCAACGTGAAGGAAAGGTAATTGATTACAGGTATTGCCCACAATGCATCTAGAACTATTATGTTTAGGAGATAATGCAGAATCATGTCCTCTGTAGAACTGAAGGATAAGCAAATGAAATAGAGGCTCAGAAGGTCAGATTTTGGTTGATCCATGCCCCTGCTTGATTCAAACTTGTTGAATTTTAAGAATGGTGTGCTATGTTTCAACAGAGTCAGTGAGCTGAGAGTTGTTGAGCTTTTGGATGGGCTTTGCGACAAGATGCAAGGTTATACACTTGAGAAGGTGAGATTTGGATTTTGGATGTGTCACGTGGATAGTTTATCTTTCTGTTCGTCTGCAGTTGCGAATCTGCATTAGTGAGGTTGTGATGAGTGAGCTAAGTTTTTTTTAATGTAATATCCGGTCTTGCAGATAGATTCAGGCAGACAGGAGTGGATCAAAGTAAATGATTGGGACACTTTGACGACGAGTAAGTAAATTATATTACACAGACGATGATAGGACCTTGGAAAGCCTGAAGAATTTTCTTTATTATGGTGATGGCCTTGTTGAATTCCAACCTTCTATCGCTTGCTCATTCACTGGCTGCAACAATTTTATGATTTTCTCAACACCTCTATGGCCTGTGCTATATTTTTTTCCTCAGACAAGCAAGAAGCTCGAGCGTATTCAAAACAGATGTCATCTTATTGTGGAAGGTAAGGTGAAACGCTGTACATCTTTTATTATATACTCTAGTCTAGTTTATGCTTGGTTTCATGTTTAGGAAGTTTAACCAGTTCTTCAAAAATGGGACAGGTTACTCGAGCAAACTGAAGATGAGGTAAGTCTTGACATTCTTAGGTCTCGAATTTTTTTAATCGAAATTGTCATTTAAATTTGCTTAAAACATTTCATGCTACTTTATGCTTATTACTGATACAGTTGACAGAGTTGATCAAGAAAGGATCGGTTACCGCAGGAGGAGTGAGCAAGGTTCTGTGCCAAGAGTTAAGCAAGCACTGCCAATCAAGGTAATCTCCAATTCCAGATCATTCTGTCATAACCCAATAAACCCACCTTAACAGCTGTGGGTTGCAAATAGTCTTTCTTCCGTTAATGGTACCTTAGGCAGGCGCAATACTTGTCAGTTTGTGTTTTGCATACACTATCTCATTACTTTACTTAGAAGAGTCCTTCGAATTGTGGAGTCCTGGAGTTTATAGCCAGCCTTAAAAGAATCTATACCCCTTGTCCACTTCGCAGAGTTAAGTTTTGGGGTCTTTTCTTTTGCTATCTCATCAGCATGAGACTCTTCCCACAAGTAGAAAGAATAAAGTTCTTGCTTTCCGCCTATCTCTTTCACTCTTTGGTTTTGCTTGGTGATTGTGATCCCACTATCCAAAAAGAGATACAGAATCTTCAGACTGCTAATTTCTTATAAAGAAAACGTTTCTCTCAATTTGCAGTGGTTCTCATCAGGCTGATGTTGATGGTCACGACGAAAATGAGGAGCTCTGAGTTTGTTTTGGGTCAATTAACACCAGAAGGACTATAGCTCGAGACGTGAAAGATATAGAAAGGCAACTTGGCAGAAGAAACTGACATTGGCTTGGCATGGTTGCCTTGTTCGCGAAGCTTAGATACCATCCATAGAGTTTGTAACTTGAAACAGAAATTCGGCTTCCCTGGCTCTCTTTTGTCCACTAATTTGTTTCAGCTGATGATTTGTCATACTTGAGCTTAATGCTTTCCTTAGTAGAGAACATGAAGTTGGATAATTATGACAACAGTACGGAATTCAACAGGTTGTCCTTTTGGATAAATTCTTCATTGGTCTTTTACTTTCTAGTTCCATTGAATTCTGGCCCTATTCATTTAGCCTACAGACTTGAAATGGTGAATATGTTCTACATTTTGCCAAGGGGATCCAAAACTGATTTAAGGACCAAACCAATGGACCAAAACTATCGGGACTAATTCTTTGAGAACAATGATCTATACAAAATCAGAAAAGAATAGACATGATCATTTAATTCAATGAACTCTCTAAAAAATTGTGATAGCATCATGTAATCAAAATAACAGTACAACATTTGAAGTAAAAAATGTAACAAAATGAGTTCCATGTTTATGTACAATGGATAAATCAAAAATTAAGGCAGCAGGCCAGCAAGCCATGCATCTCAGCCACTCAGAACAATGAACCATCTCCCAGATCGGTACAACATTTTTTAGCTTGCATCATAAGGTTCTGCATTTCCAAGGAACATGAACAAGGCTCTTCTCGATGATAGCGGGACATCAAGAATACGTCCTGTACAAAGGCCATTCATTCCCATCCTCCATCGCTCATGAGTTCTCATCAAGCACGCCCTTGAGCAAGTTCAAACCTTCGAGCGATATGCTCCTGCGAACTCTTGTCTGAGGGATCTCGATCCGAGGCGGTGGATCCTGGGAGAAGCAAACAACTATAACCGTCAAGTTATCGCATGTGTTTCGCTTCAGTGCTTCCCTGACCAACTCCCTTGAGCACCTCTCGGGGTCGTTGTGGAGCATGAGCTCTTTCCTTACTATCGTCACTGCACACTGGCTGCTCATCACGTCCCAAAGGCCATCACACCCCATTATTAAGAACTCGTCTTCCTCGGATAAGTTTGTTTCTTGCAACTCGGGCTCCGGGCTAAGGGGACATGCAGACCCCTTGGGACCCTTCATGTGCCAATCGCCTAGTGCACGGGAGACCGACAACTGGCCATTGAGGTAGCCGTCATAGATGACTCCCCCAAGCTTCTCAATTCTTAGCCTTTCAGAAGTGCTGTTCGGTTTGTGGTCTTTGGACATCTCGATTGCTCTGCCCCGTCGACCCAGCACTGCTCGACAATCCCCAGCATTGGCGATGATCAATGTCCTGCAATGATCAAGACTCATGATTAAGGCTTAATGAATCCCCAGCATTGGCAATGATCAATGTCCTGCATTGACATCTAGATTCCACAGGCTTATTAACATCAATGCAAAAGCAGTCGACAGATCAACATCCAAGTACTTGAATCGCCACTTGATCACAAACTCATCTTATATCCTATGAACTGATGAAAAACAGAACTATCAGGTACCGAAAGCTTTTCATTTTCTCCATTAACTTAATGAGAGAGCCAATCATCAGAATGGAGATCGACATCCAAGTACTTAGATCAAACTTTTCTATAGTCGGACCACTGACACAACAGGCATCAACGGATCAGCATCCAAGCAAGTTAATCATAACTCCTACTATCCTAGGAATATCAGAAAGGACAGGCAATCATAGTTCAATAGAAAAAGATAGCTTTTTCATAACAGGTAACGTGACGAACCAAGTCTCTCAGCTTCACTACCAGCATCCGAAACAGCATTTCTAACTGCCTTCATTTCGACCATCTTTCACTAGGACTATCAGACAACAGCAATAGAGAATTCGACATGAACAGCTAATGGACTTACCGGCCAAGCATAAGAGCAGTGAGAGCCGTGGTGCCAGACGAGATATCAAGAGAACTATCGTCTGCGAAAGCATAATCAGCTCTCACGAAAGCACTCTTGATTGCCTTCTCCACGCACATAGGAAACTGGAAGTCATCAACTATGTATCTCAATATGTTGTTCCTCACAAACAGAGCTGCATCCGTGCCTCCATGGCCATCAAACACCTAGTGAAAAGTACAAAACTTGACTACTGTCAACGGGAAATTTCATAACTGGGACTTTTCTGATGATCCAAGGAGATGACTATAACTATTACCAACCCCGTAGAAAGCTCCCATGGAGGAGAAGCTGGCAGTGGTTGAACCCAGATGTTGGTTGAGATCATCTATGCAGACATGCTCATCCTCCATGTACTGCTTGGGACCTTCCTCGGCGCAACTCCCTGATCGGAAGACCGGCGAAAAATCGGTCTTCTCATCGGACGGCGACTTATTGACGACAATCCCAACATCCATAGCCTGGAGAAGAAAAAGGGAAAAGGGGGATCGAAATTCCAAATCAATTAGGCTATCACAACAAGATCCAGAAACAACCACCGGTAAGCTGAGATGGAGGGAGGGAAGTTTACCAGATCGGCGGCGGCGAGGAGCCTGGCTGATGGGATGGTGTGGCGGGGAGGCCTGCCATTAGGGATTTGCTTGACGCCGTCGGAATTCTCGTCGGCGGTGGGGAGAGGTTTCTACTGGTATCCTTGTTAATACTGGAATTGTTGTATCCACCGCCGTCTAGCAGAGCAAAGGGAGGAGAGAAATCTGTGCCGGCAGCCATATTTACTCCCCGAACATACATAAACAGAGACACCCAAAACTTCTGCCGCTCTGATTCCCAACGATGGAAGCGAAAATGATGGGAAGGAATCAGAAATCGCGGGTGAGGAGAATTTGGGGGTTTCTGGAATCAGGGGAATCCGAGGAGGAGGATGATTATGATTGTGATTGTGGTGGCAAGCTTGTTTGCTTCTGCTGCTTTTCTTCTTCTTCTTCTTCTTCTTCTTCTTCTTCTTGATGTTGTTGCAGAGGCGGTGATGGAGGTTTTGGCTATGGCGGCTTCCGTTTTTTCTTTTTCCTCTGATTTGTGTGTCAGATGATTCTGAGAGAGAGAGAGACGTCTGGGAGAGAGAAAGGGTGGAGGAAAGAATCAAAAGGGTTGGTTCGAGGGGAAGAAAAGATTTGTGATTTTAACAGTGGGAAGGGAAGGGAAGAGAAAGGAGGAAAGGGAAAGCGGGGAAATGATCGATGATGCAGAGAGAGAAAGAAACACGGGGAAGGAGGAAGAAGAGGAAGAAAGAAAGAAGGAAGAAAACAAACAAACAAAAAAATGGGAAGAGAGATGGAGATTGTTGGAAGTTTATATATATATAAAGTAAAATTGAAATATTATATCTTTTTCTTATGGTTTTTGAAAAAAATATTATGTTTACAATTATAAAATCAAAATATTCTATGGTTTGGACTTTGGAACTCAAAATTTTAATCACCTTACCAAAAACTAAAAACTCATAATTGAATGGAGGGGAGGAATGAGGACAAATTGTTCTTTTGCTTGTTAGATTTTAAAAATGAAGGTATGATAATTTTTATATAATTAAAGGTAAATATAATTTATTAATTAAATTTTCCTATTTTTTCAAATTATTAATCAAAATATAAAATGTTAGTAAAATGTTAAGTTTTTGTTCGCAGTTTTGTTAGTAATATTGACTGGGCAGCATGATACTAACTTGGAAGAGACACGTGATGGTTAAGTAGTCGACATTCCAAAATTTTAGTATTTTAACTAAAGAAGTTACAGACAACTTACTAATATTTTGATGTTATAAAAAATTTGGCTAATATTTTGTATTTCAAAAGATTTAGCTAATAATGAAAAGTTTGAAAAGATTTGGCTAATAAAGTGTTTTTACACTTATCTTTTCAAACTCTTTTTTGACATTTTTTTTATGGTTATGCTAAACCAACATCCTCTTTCACTCTCCTAGTGCTCTAAGAATCAATTCAGATCAGCACCCGAATATGTAGAACCACCAAACCAGTTACAATATCGGTTTAGTTTATTTGATAGCACGGCTAGGGATGACCAAATAGTTTTTGACGATTCAACATGAAACCAGAGGAACCATCAATTATAAATAAAAAAAGATGAACCATCCTGATTTGACTAGACCACTATTTGAACCTAAAAATAATAATTTAACATAGACTAAGATAATCAAACCTTAATTATTATTTTTATTTATGCTCCATTTTTGTTTTTCAACCTCGCCAGCTTCACGTGGTCCACTGTGAATTTTCACTCTAAATACCAACTTGGATTTATTTGGAAAAATATTATGATTGTTTTTGTGAGATAGTTTGAATTATTTGTTAGAATTTTTTATGATGGATGATATGAATTTGAAATTGCTTATGGCTAGTGATAAATTCATTAATAAACTAGTGTATTATAATTTATATATGTCTTTTATATTATAGCGCGTGAACGGTTAACCAATGATTCTATAACGGCTAACCACTGAACCACAAAACAATAATTTTCCCCTTCAACATCCAAATATAAACTTAATCTAACAGATAACGTCAACGTATAAACAATTGTACTTTATCTAAGAAATAACACCAATATTCAAATTCAAAATGATTATGTTTTGGGATGCACAATTGTAATCTAAAAACGCTCTCCCTTCTCTCTTCTTTCTCACTCCTCCTGACCTAGATCGGGTTTTCGCGGAGGCGGCGGCATGGCCTCGCCGGAGCCTCTCAATTGGGCTCATCTCTTTGGTGTGGGTGAGGGTAACCGGCTCTGCTACGTTGCGCCGACTCTGGTGGATGGGGAGCTTGTTATTCCTCGGGCGGTTCGAGAAGAAGGTGAAGTCAGATGGAGAAATCCGCTGGTAGGTCAGTTCCTCACAGCAACGCCCCCGATTGTGGTGATTCGACGATGGGCTCAGCGGTATTGGGGACGAGATGGACGTGTGTTTGTTTCAGGGTTTGGGTCTAACATGTTTCTGTTCCAATTTGAAAGTGAAGAATCGAGTAGGTGGGTGTTTGAGAATGGTCCGTGGCACTGTGAGAATGTGCCCTTGTTTTTTCGCAAATGGGTACAGGGGATTCAATCAGTTAAGTTGGATTGTTCGAGATTGCCGATTTGGGTGCGAGTTCGGGAGTTACCGTTGGAGTACATGACGGCGGAAGGTTTGAATAGAGTTGCGAGCTTGCTGGGTACACCGTTGTGGATGGACCAGGCAACCAAGCTTGGAGCTCAGATGGGGACGGCTAAGATGTGCATTGAGATGTCTGCTGGTTCACTTTTTCCAACAGAATTCGTCCAGAGGGGGAGGAGAGGATGCGGTTACTTGTTCAGTATCTCAGCCTTCCACCTCGTTGTGAGCAGTGTGCAGAGTTTGGGCATGTTATTGGTAAGGGCCTAGAATGTGGGAAGTCTGATGAAAGGCAGTTGGTGGTGGTTGAGGAGACAGTTGTGGTTAAGGATGACTCTGTTGATAAGGGTAAGGCAGCAGAGGATGAGAAGAAAGTGCAGTCTGAGGAAGTGGGTTCTGGTATTGAGAGTCCTAATGCATTGGAGAATCAAGGGGTAGTGGGGGATGCTGTTGCTGCCAGCTCTTCTACTCCCCAGAGGGAGGGTTTGATAGATGAAGATGGGTTTCAGCTGGTGGTGAGAAAGGGGAAGAATGTTTCTGGCCGTGATCAAAGTGGTAGTGTGAGAATTCCAGCCTCGGTGGCCAGTTCTCGTGTGCCGTTAAATCCCAAGAGTATAGACCTTGTGATTCCTGCCTCTCCAAAGAAGGGTGGAAGAACAGAAGGAAGAAATGAAGTTTCTCTGCTGGAATCTCAGGGGGTTCAATGCCCCTGAGAAACATAGATATGTGAAAAAAACAGGTTTTGAAGTTGCAGGTAGAGTTTTTTGCTATTTTAGAAACACGAGTACTAAAGCATAATGCGACAGATATAAGGAATAAGACTTTTAGTGGTTGGAAGCATTTAGATAATTATAAGTATTCATCTTCTGGTCGTGTTTGGTTGTTCTGAAAATCTCATTTGGCTGTTAGTGAAGTGGGAATGGGTGAGCATTACATTAGTGTTCGTATCAAGTCTGGCACTGAATCTTGTCTTGCAACTGGAGTTTATAGCCCGAATAAAGTGCAGGATAGGGCAAAGTTGTATGATGAGCTGAGGCAATTGAGGTTAACAAGTGAGCCTGGAGTTTGGATGGGAGATTTCAATGCTATTGTGGAGGATAGTGAAGCCTCGAACAGGTCTGGTTTCAATCAGAGTATGGAGGATTTTCGGGGTTGGATACAGGATATGAAGCTTACAGATCATAGGACTCTGGGATCGTGGTATACTTGGTGGAACAAACAAGCTAGCAATCCTATTGCAAGGAGGATTGACAGGGTCTTGGTTACTGAGAAGTGGCTGGATAGTTTTCCGAATAGTTTAGTGCAGACCCTTGCCCCAGGGGTGTCAGATCACTGTGAACTACTTGTACAGACTGATTCTAAGGTTACTTCATTGCCAAAACCCTTCAAGTTCTTTCTATTTTGGAGACAATACCCTCAATTTGAAGAGTTATTGAAGGAGGCATGGCAGCTAGAGGTTACTGGAGAGCCATATTACATCCTATATAGGAAACTGGATGAGCTTAAGCGTCGGCTTAAGAGCTTGAATATGACTGTCTACTCTAATCTGTCTGTTCGAACAAGGGAAGCAGAAGTGGTATTGGAGGAGTTGCAGAGTGATATGCTTTCTGATCCATCTGAAGCTATTATGCAGGCTGTATTGGAACAGGAAAGGAAGTGTAGGGACCTCCAGAGTGCTGAAGAATCTTTCTACAAGCAAAAGTCAAGAGTTCAGTGGATAACTAAAGGAGATGCTAATACTGGTTTTTCCATGGTATGGTAAAGACTAGGAATCATAAATTGACTATTCAGAAGTTGATTACAGAGGATGCGGAAGTAGTGAGTGATATGAAGAGAATGAGTCAGGTTGCTGTTGATTTTTACAAGGGGCTGCTGGGCAGTGTAGATACTTTTGTTCAGCAGTTGCCTAGTGTGTTTTTTTAGGATCTATTAAGCCTGAAGCTCGCGAATGATGATGTTGCTTTGCTGACTGCTTCAGTTACTAGGGCAGAAATTAAAAAAGTCTTATGTGGGATGGGTAATGATAAAGCACCTGGTCCAAATGGGTACATAGTTGAATTTTTCAAACTGGATTAGGAAACAGTGGGGCCTGAGGTGGAGAATGTAGTGCTGGAGTTTTTTAGAACTGGAGTTATGCCAAGACAGGTAAATTCTACTGTTATCTCGCTTATTCCCAAGCTTCAGGTAGTTGAAAAAATGAAAGATTTTAGGCCTATATCTTGTTGCAATGTGATCTATAAGGGCATTTCAAAGATCTTATCAAATAGGTTGTCCTTGGTCTTGCCATTACTTATTAGCAGAAGTCAGTCTGCTTTTGTAAAAGGCAGGTCATTAGTGATAACATATTAATGACAACTGAGCTTGTAAAGGATTATCATAGGGGTCATATTCTCCTAGGTGTGCACTTAAAATTGACCTAATGAAGGCTTTTGACTCGGTGGATTGGTTGTTTCTGTTTAAAGTAATGAGGGTTATGGGAATGCCAGATCAGTTTGTTAAGCTTGTTGAGTCTTGTGTTCAATCCCCTATGCTCTGTATTTCGTTTAATGGGGGATTATGTCGTTACTTCCCTACGGCCAAGGCTTGAGACAGGGGGACCCTCTCTCCCCCTATCTCTTCACGATTGCGATGTAAGTTTTTTCTTGTTTACTGGTTAGAGCTGTTAGAAGTGCCCAAATACCATTTCACCCTCGGTGTAAGAGTCTGGAAATAACACATCTCTGCTTTGCGGATGATTTGTTAGTTTTCTCTAATGGGTCACCAGAGGCATTATCTGGGATACAACTTTTGCTTACATAGTTTTATTCCATGTCTGTTTTGAAGTGAAATCTCAAAAGTGTCAACTGTTTTGTGCTGGGTTGTCTCAGGAAGAAAAGCAAATATTATTTGATCAGTTTGGGTTCCCTTTAGGTGATTTACCTATCAGATACTTGGGTGTGCCACTCCTTTCTGGCAAACTGACATCTGTTGATAGTGACTGTGTTGTTGATAAAATTACTAAGAGGATCCAGACCTGGCAAGCCAGAACCCTGAGTTATGCAGGGAAGCTGCAGTTAATAGATTCAGTCATTACCAGTGTGTTTCAATACTGGATGTCAATTTTTTTGCTGCCCTTGAAGGTC